TATACTACACTAGACTCTACTATGTACGAAGCTAGCCTACACTATATGGGTAGTTCTCTAAATTAAGATCCCTTTTAGGATCCTTGTTATAAGGGTGCCGTACTATTTTGGGGACCCTAAAAAGGGACCCTAATTTAGAGAACAACTCATATAGAACCCTTATAGCGCCTTTATAGAAACCCTTATAGGTCCCTATAAGGACTCTCAAAAATGGGGCCCTGATGCAGCTAAACCCTAATTTAGAGAACTACACCATATACTATCCGCCCACCCTAAACCCTAAACCCTAAACCCTAAACCCTAAACCCTAAACCCTAAAAATGAGCCCCCTTGAGTCATCGCAGGAAGCGGGCGCTGGGCGACCTCGGCCCTCATGGAGGCCAGCCTGTTTTTCAAGCTTTTTTTAGCTTCAGAGGGCTTGTGGGGGTTGAAGGTTCAGGGCTTAGGGATTGGGTTTTAGGGTGTAGGGTTTAGGGTTTAGGGTTTAGGGCTTAGGGTTTAGGGTTTAGGGTTTAGGGCTTAGGGTTTAGGGTTTAGGGTCTAGGGCTTAGGGGAGAAATGAGGGTATGGTAGGTTGTCTTGAAGGAGAGCTGGATCCCTTAGAGCCTTGGCTTGGGTTTGGGGCTTGATTCAGGTCATGGCCGAGCCTCCTCTTTTAACGGTTTAGGGTTTAGGGTTTTGGGTTTAGGGTTTAGGGTTTAGGGTTTAGGGTTTAGGGTTTAGGGCACGACCTCAGCCCGTTTAAGCTGGACTATAAAATCTGACATCTGAGCCTGGAATGCCACTCAGCCGATTTCCTGGCATCTTCGCATACCCATTACTCCAAATACGACAAGCCCGAAATACTCCTTCTTAGGAGTTCGGATTAGGGGGATCCTTGAGGATATAGACCCTCTCAATAAGGTCCCCTTTAACCCTTTCAGGGTGTCCCTAATGCTACCTAGGATTTCTGCAAACTCCTGCGGGTGCGAGCCCTGGAAGAATCGGGTCTCCCGCTCGCGCTCGAGGTCGGCGATGCCCGCCGCAGGCAGGGTATACTCCTCGCGGGGGCTGTGGGATTTAGGTTTTAGGGTTTGGGGGATGCCAGAGACGTGTTTTAAGGGTTCCGCGCTTTAGGATTGTGGATTTACGGTTTCGGGGGTACTAGAAGGACTACTTTAAGGGTCATGGTGTTCAGAATTTAGGACTTAGGGTTTAGGGGATACTAGGAGTTTAGCTTCAAGGGTGGAGCCCGGGGTTCACTTCTTCAGTGATATATTTGTGTGGTCTAGAACCAAGGTATGGGTTGCAGGGTGTGGGTTTAGAGCTTGGTTGCTTAGAGTTTGGGGGGCCTTTATTTGGAGCTATCTTGGTGGAATTGGAAATGTGTCCAAAAGACCCCAATTATAACAGAATTAACTGAATTAAACTTTGGCATTAGAACTCTCTTGTTCGTTACGTTTTACTTTATCCTAACCACTCATTCATCATGTTCTGCCTGGTGATTACGTTCCTGTTATCTTCATTCGTTCTACCTCTACACCCTTCATTCACAGGCCAGGCGATAACAAGGAACTCAGGATCGAAAAAGACCCAATTTAATTTAATTAGAAGGTAAATGAGCGTAGTGAATGCACCCTTTTACTAAATTAAACTGTGCTGTTTCTTTTTCGTTCGTATTTCCTTCGCCTGTGCTTTGCTTCTTCGCTGGTGTTTAGGGTTTAGGGTTTAGGGTTTACGGTTGAGGGCTTAAGGTTTAGGTTTCAATAAACCAAAGACACTGATCAGTTCTGCCTCCGACCCTGCTAGTGCATCGCCCGCGCCAAGATCACAACACCCTACATCTTAGACTCAAGACCCCTAAACATCCCCAAACCCTAAACGGCCCTAAACCCTGAACCCTAAACCCACAAATCCGAACCCACCCCGAACCCCCAAAGCACGAGTTACGGTAGAACCCGAACCCAAAACACTGAAATCCCCAACTATAAACGCCGAAGTCCTGGAACCCTCGACGCCTGAACACGTACATGCTCGAGCCTAATCAACAACGATGATACGTACGAACAATGTCTAAGCATCATGTAAAACTGAATTGAAATAAGAATGGTAGTAAAAAATGACCAAATTCCAAAAAGATGATAATACTATATGCTATTATCACTCTTATTGTTATCAAGAATAATAATGATGATACTATATACGATTGTCTCTGTTATTGTTGTTAGTGAGAATGATCTAAGTTGTCCTTTAAGCCCTTTGAAAATTATTTACCATCATGGTTCTCTACAAAATAGTAAGGGAAATTAAAAAAGATCCCGAAAGACAACCCAGTGATAAGAGTAAGCGAAACATGGAGAACCCCGGGGGACCAGCGACCGCGAAGTTCCAGGAGTCGCCTGGTCGGAGCAAGGTTTGGGGTTTGGGGTTTAGGGTCTGGGATTCAGGGTTTAGGGGATTTAGGGTTTAGGGTTTAGGGTTGTGACATTCTTCCTTGGCAGGGTCAGGAGATCGCCTGGGAATTATTTATATGATTATCTTTC